ATTTTCAGATACTATGTATGGTATACAATTTTTAAAATTGTGATTATATTTCCAGAAAATTGTAAAAGAGTAACGAAATGTAATAAGATCCAAGTTGAACTTGTAAAACAAAAATTTCGTTATATTGAATTATCAATCTATCATATAGAAACTTGATTGGGACTCAATTGAATTTTATTACATTGAAAATAGCGTTTTATTGATATGCGTTATAAATCTTATTGTAATTCATATAATTATATATAGCTATGCTTGTCGTAAGAGTATAATATGTAATAAATAATGTGTAAGCATCTTTTTGGATATCACTTCGAACATCTGTATTCTTCTTTGTTTAGGCGAAAGTAATAGATATTGGACTAATCTTTCTTTTTTGTGTGTTCCTCGTATATAATATATAATTATTTAATTACTATAAACTCTTTCATTGCGATATGTAGAGAGAAAACAGTCAACTATGTTAACCGTCGTCGGTGCAACCGGTCCTTGAATAGTTGAACGTGAGATTAAAGACTCATTGATCCGTAACGTACCCCATATTTAACGCTGTACGCGACTGTTTAACAGTCAATGCGAAATTGCACGTGATAAACAAAAGCGCAGAATCAGTTGATTCCGCATTTAAAGCGTTAAATAATGGGAAATACGAATGCGACGGACATTCTTTTGGTATCCGTTTCTTATGATTCGAGCACGCACGCACTTTATTCGCACTTTCCTTCCCCATCATTTTTCTCCTTCTCATGTTCGCGCGCAAACTCTCTCTCTCTTTCGCACGTAATTAACACACACATACTTGCTACAAACACGGGACATACACACGTTAGCAAAACGATATTGCGGTAATGTTCATCGACGATCGCTTTTTCTGTATATATATATATATTAGGTTGAACGGAAAGTTCGTTCCGTTTTTTGCAAACAGATAAAGACTGAAAAAACGATACGAACTTTCCATTCAACCCAATATATCGTCTATAGATGAGTTAACTTATTTCACAATGCTGATCTTTATGCGAAATAAATCCTCACACTCTGTAAAACTCTGGACTAATAATTATTTTTTTTATAGTAATTATAAATGATATGTAATGTTAATAAAATAATGTTTTGTTATATATGTACATTTAATACTATTACTATAATGTTTTAAAATAATTTAAGAGGACATAAACAATAAATAATTTTGGTTCTTACTTATATTGTTT